ATGAAATACATTGTAGATATGATTTTTAACATATAAGTGAAAATGTAGAGCATAGTTACATCTACACGATATATTTCTCATCTGAAATCGTTACACCATAGTTCACAAAAAAGACTATCATCATTGACTTATCGACATCTTACCAATAGGGATGTGTGTGAACTTCTTGCTTCTTGAAGCATCAATCATTCCATTTTGACCGAACCAATGAATAATTTTAGAATCAGTTCGCTCTAAATAAGCCATATCTGGTGAAGATATATCACCTTCACCCGTAATTAAAACAAAATCATTCATTAAATGCGGATAAACTTGGCTAAAAAAAGTGCCGATATACCAAATACTAACATAAATTATACTGCCATGAGGTAAACATGGAGCTATAAGTCGTCCACTCGTAGTTGTCACCTCAACATATTCTTGAAACTGATTGGGCCAACCATAGATCCAATCAGCTAGATTACGAAAATTTCGTTGACAAATAAATTCAGAATCATGTTGAATGATGTGTTTCGAATCAAATTCGAGATGAGTACGTGTTCGGTTGCTTCTATAAGGACATATTTGTGTACAATCAAACGGTTGATGATTGTTTGTCGTTATCTGTCGAGTAATTTGAAGGTAAATAATGAAGAAAGTTGGAAAAAGAAAGATGAAAACGGTGTAAGGTCGCATGAAAACGCATTCAACGTTAACTGCTCGTAAACTGATTATATGATTCTCTCCTCATGATGTATACATTTAAACGACATCACTTTTCTACCAGTCTATCGAGTATGTCCTTCGCATATGTAATGTATGCCTGCAGCCATAAGATATACGGCTCATTTATTTTTCACTTATCTCGCAGTTAGACTTCATTGATGTCGATTTGAAGAGGCAAAACTACTTTTCGTTGAATTGAAAGGATAGAGTGTATAAGTCTAAATTAAATAGCTTTTATGTAAACTATGGTGTAACGATTTCAGATGAGAAATATATCGTGTAGATGTAACTATGCTCTACATTTTCACTTATATGTTAAAAATCATATCTACAATGTATTTCATTGTTCTTGTTATAGTCTCGCACAAGGACAAAGAAAAGAGAATACATAATGAGGTGAAGACATTGAATTGAGCACAATTGTTTAAGGTAACAGCAAGAGTAATGATATTAAGATACGGGCAAAAGCGAGAACAATAAGATATTAACTAGCAAGGACAATAAATATGAAGATGGCAATGGAAAAGTTGTCACGTACATAAATTATATCTACAATGGAAAACAGATAATGCAATATGGGAAACTCCATCGGGACGTCACACATATGCCAAAATTCTTTGATAATTTTGTGTCACGTTATATTATTTGTTATTTTCTCTGAAGAAGTAAATGATACAAATCAACGTGTAAGTCTTTCAATTTATTCATTTGTACATACGTTTTATGATAAAACTCATCGAGTGGAGTAGGATAAATACCTTCAATTTTATCCCGTTCACTAAACAAACCAACAAGTAGAAATGATGTCAGCAGAGAAAACGATTTCAGTTGATAAATCAATATGAAGATTCATTTTGGTGATCCTAAAAGGACATTCAAAGCAATGCTTCGAATAGCGGTAATGACAAGCGTCTTTCGAAGAATTCAATTAACACGGCACAATGTCGAGAGTTCAGTCTTGAAAGAACTCACACAACAAGGATCGATGCAAGCAAAAACAAGGATACATGGAGTGATGGGCTCATTTAGATTGGTCAAATCAAACTTGACTTCAGATTGAGTTCTTAACTCCACTATTGGGCCAATAACCTACGATGCAAAAGTAATTGCCGAAATCTCCAGTCATAGTTCTCCACTTAAGAACATCTTGGAAAATAATTTTTTTTTTTATTGAAAAGAGCAATGTCTGAACTACAAATTTTGTACCAGCCATATTTTTCTAGAACGAATCTGAGAAGGAGGAAAAGTTAAAAATCCAACTCCTCTTAAAAAAAGTTCATGCAACTTTGTTGCG